AGAACAGAATGAGAGACAAGAGATGCAGAACTGGTGAGTCTCAGAGGAAGAGGTGGTCAGTTGGAGGGAGACAGAAACTGAGACTGGCAGGTGCAGCGATCAGGTCCCCTTGGTTTCTGATCACTCTAACTAGTGCTGAGGAGTTTCTTCCCTGCCTCCTGACCATCTTCACAGGCAGGAATTTCTCTGGCTCTGTCTCTCTCTAACTTTGTGTCCTCTGTTTTCCCCCCGGAGACTCTTGAGCTCCAGGTGTGCAGAAACTGGTCCAGTTTGATTGACATCTACTGGACTCCCATTTGTCTCTATCTTCACTGTGAGCCTGCACCCATACAGCCGCTGACAGGGTCCAGTCCAAATTTGGCAAAATGTGGGTGTGAATGGTCCATGTCTGCCTGTCTCATCCTAGGCCTGACTTTTGGCCATGAGGCAACATCTTTCTTGCAATGTTAACCAAACCCTTTGCTGTGATCCAGGATCCTACCCCGAACTTACTTTGACCCAGAAGGAGCAGACAAACAGTCCTGATTTTTAAGAGGAGGAAGCTGTACTTTCCTGACACTGGAGACGTGCCAGCATGGACTTTTCTGACCCAAGGACCGGGTTGTGTGGCTGTGTCATCTGACACTAAATTGGGTCTCACTCCAGCCCAGGTGAAGCACCGATGGGGAGGCTGGAAGTGCGTAACACACGTATCTCAGTGTTTACCCTGAGCCCAGGAAGTTACTTTGACCCAGGAGAGCAGACAACAGTGCCTGATTTTGAGAGGGTGGACGCTATGTACATTCCTGACACTGGGAGGAGTTGCCAGCCATGGACTTTTCTGACCCAAGGACCTGGGTCCTGCTTGCGTGTCATCTGACACTAAGATGGGTCCTCACTCCAGCCGAGGGTGAAGCACCGAATGGGGAGGCATTGAAGTGTCTGGACACACGGGGTAACTCCAGTGTTTACCTGAGTCCTAGAAGTTACTTGGACCCAGGAGAGCAAACAGTGTCCTGGATTTTATGAGGTGGACGCTGTACATTTCCTGACACTGGAGTACGGTTGCCAGGCATGAACTTTTCTGACCCAAGACCTGGGTCCTGCGTGTGCTGTGTTGTCTGACACTAAGATCTGGTCCTCTTCTCCAGCCCATGGTGAAGCACCGAGGGGAGGCATGAAGTGCTGTACACACAGTAACTCAGTCTTTACCCTTTTAGGGAAGTATTGTTGCCATCCTCATTTTATGAATGGGGAGAGATCGAAGCAGGCAGTGCACAGTCTGTGCTCTACCCAAAGGTCGTACCAGTGGGTTAGGGCTACACTGTCCCCAATATGGTAGTCACTTCTGCATGTGGACACTAATTAAGTACTTGAAATGTGGTCCAAATACTGTTTACAATAGCAAAGATAGGGAATCAACAGATGAATGGTTAAATAAAATTGGTATATATACACTGTTGAATACTGTTAGCCATAAAAAGGAATAAAGTCTTGTCTTTTATAGCAACATGGATACAACTGGAGGTGATTATCTTAAGTGAAACAAGTCAGGTGCAGAAAGTCAGTATCACATGTTCTCATTCCTAACTGGGTGCTAAACAATGTGTACACACCGACCTAGAGAGTGGATTGATAGAACCTCCAATGCAATTTTGAATCAGAGTGGTAAGAACAGCCATTCTTTACTTGCTCCCAATCTTAGAGGGAAAGCATTAAATCTTTCACCTTTAAGTATGATATTGGCTGTGGACTTTTTTGTAGATGGTTTTAGTCATGGTAAGAAATTGTTTATTTCCAGCTTGCTGATAATTTTTAATCATGAATAGATGTTGGATTTCTATCAAATGTTTTTCATATCTATATTATTACTGGGAGAACCTGCCCCCAATATTTCAACATAGGTTCTTTTTCTATTTTCCATAAGTGTCAGCTGGCTGAGAAATAGAGACAGTACAAAGAGAGGAATTTTACAGCTGGGCCACCGGGGTGACATCACTTATCGGTAGGACCGTGATGCCCAACTGAGTCTCAGACCAGCAAGTTTTTATTAAGGGTTTCAAAAGGGGAGGGGGTGTAAGAACAGAAAGTAGGTACAAAGATCACATGCTTCAAAGAGCAAAAAGCAGAACCACTGATAAGGGTCTAACAAAGATCACATGCTTCTGAGGGAACAGGGCAAAGGGCAAATGCAGAACAACTGATAAGGGTCCAACAAAGATCACAGGGCAAAGGGCAAAAGCAGAACCACTGATAAGGGTCTATGTTCAGCGGTGCCCATATTGTCTTGATAAACGTCTTAAATAACAGAAAACAGGGTTTGAGAGCAGAGAACCTGTCTGATCACAAATTTACCAGGGTTGAGTTTTCCCAACTCCAGTAAGCCTGAGGGTTCTGCAGGAGACCAGGGCTTATCTCAGTCCTTATCTCAACTGCACAAGACAGACATTTCCAGAGCAGCCATTTATAAACCTCTTCCCAGGAAAGCATAGTTTTACCAGGGTATTAATATTAACATTCCTTGTTAGGAAAAGAATTTAGCAATATGTTTCCTACTTGCACATCCGTTTATAGGCCCTCTCCAAGAAGAAAAATATGGCTCTTTTTGCTCAACCCCATGGTTGTCTTCCCTTGTTCCATAAAAATCGCTATTATTCTGTTCTTTTTCAAGGTGCACTGATTTTATATTGTTCAAACACACGTTTTACAATCAATTTGTGCAGTTAACACAATTATCACAGCAGTCCTGAAGTAACATACAACCTCAACTTATGAAGATAATAGGATTAAGAGATTAAAGACAGGCATAAGAAATTATAGAAGTATTATTTGAGAACTGATAAATGTTCATATTAATATGAAATCTTCACAATTTATGTTCCTCTTCTGCTGCTCCAGCCAGTCCCTCCATTTAGGGTCCCTGACATCCTATAACATATTTTAATGAATATATATATGCTTGTTAATATGCTGAGCTTCCTTAATTGATTTTCAAACATTAAACCAACCTTGCATCCCTGGTTAAACCCATTTCCATTGTGTTTATCCCATAATACAGTATACTTGTTTTATGTTGTTAGATTTGCCAAAATTTGTTTAGTATTTTTAAATCTATGTTCATGAGGGTATTGGTCTGTAGTTCTCCTTTTTGTAAATCCAGCCCATTACACCACCAACACCACCAGCATGGACTATTTTGGAGCTAGAGGATTATCCTGCCACTACTACTGCTCATGCCATGTCCACTGCCACTGTTTACAGAGGAAAAAATCGTATGGGAAGCACACTAATGTATGCACCCAGAATCAAAGTCAAAGTGCCCAACCCAATCAACACATCTTAAAGTACACATCTTCAGGAAAAAGTCCTCCCCTATGAAAGCAGATTCAAAAAATTAAAAGAAGCAACCATGATCCCAGATGCACAGATATTAACGTAAAGACACAAGAAACATGCAAAAGCAAGAAAACATGACACCCCCAAAGGAACACAATAATTCTCCAGCAAGAGATTCTAATAAAAGATAAATCTAGGCCAGGTGGGGTTGTCATGCCTGTAATCCCAGCACTTTGGGAGGCCGAGGCAAGTGGATCACTTGAGGTCAGGAGTTTGAGACCAACCTGGTCAATTTGGTGAGGCCCCACCTCTACTAAAAATACAAAATTAGCCAGGTATGGTGGTGCACACCTGTAATCCCAGTTACTTGGGAAGCTGAGGCATTAGAATTACTTGAACCTGGGAGGTGGAGGTTGCAGTGAGCTGATATTGCAACACTGCACTCCATCCTAGGCTACAGAGTGAGACTCCATCAAAAAAAAAAAAAGAGGAAGAAGAAAAAGAAATCCATAAAATGCCTTAAAATTCAAAATAATGATATTTTGAAAGCTCAGTGAAATATGAATATGAATGAGAAATTTACCAAACAGATCACTATCATTAAAAAAAAGAACCAAACAGAAATTCTGGAACTGAAGAATTCATTGAATTAAATACAAAACAAAATTGAAATCTTCAATGACAGACTGATCAAAGAAAATTAAGAGTTTCAGAACCTGCAGACAGGTCTTTTGAAAAACTCAGAAAATTTTTTTTAAAAACTGAGCAAAGCATACCTGACATATAAAACACCAAAAAGCAACCAACTATTCAAATTTTCACTATCCCAGAAGGCAAAAAGGAAACAAAAGGGATAGAAAGCCTATTTAATGAAATAATAGCTAAATCCTTCTAAAGTCTATCAAGAGATTTAGACATCTAGATATAAGAAGTTCCAAGATTCCTAGGTATTTACAAATGCAGAAAGTCTTCTCCATGGCAAATTGTAGTCAGACTGCTTAAAGTCAAAGATTAAGAGTAAATTCTAAAAACAGTGATAGAAAAACATTTAGCCATCTATAAAGGAGCCCATCAACAGTGGATTCGTCAGCAGAAACCTTACAGGCCAGGAGAAAGTGGGATCATATATTCAATGTGCTGATAGAAAAAAAACTATCTGCCAAGATACTGTACCTGAAAAAGTTATGCTTTATAAATGAAAAGGAAATACAGTCTTTTCCAAACAAATAATAGCTGAGTAAATTCAGCATCACTAAACCAGACCTACAAGAAATGCTTAAAGGAGTCTTACACATAGAAGCAAAAGGAGGATATCTAACATAAGGAAGCACACAAAATGTAAAACCCATTGGTAGAGAAAACACACAAATGAGGAAGAGAATAGACTCAAATGGTAGCACAACAACAACAACAAAAAACCCACCAAACTGTTACGGTGGGGTCTTTGTTGTTAGAGCTCCCAAGATGGTGGCAGGCCTCTCCCAAGATGGAGTGGGCTACTTCCAAGATGGTGGCAAGCCTTTTCTTCTCTGACCTGGGGTTCTTGGCCTCACAGATTCCAAGGAATGGAACCTTGGGCCATGAAGTGAGTGTCATAGCTCTATTAGAAGCCACGGGTCATGGAAGAGAACCATGGAACCCAGCGACTAGTGTTTGGCTTGATTAGGATGAACTTGGGCACTTACCCATGCAGGAACAATGGCGAGCCTTTAGCCCAAATGGGAGTGGCAATGGCCGCCTCACTAGTTCAGAGCACAGCAGACACCCTGCCGGATCCAGAGGAGTGGAAGTCAGCATTGGGTCTGTGATGGCGGCATTCAGCAGTGGTGGACAGCAAGCGAAAGCTCAGCTTGAGCTGGAACAAACACGGACCAGAAGAGTGTGCAGTTGCAAGATTTAATACAGTGAAAATAGAGCTCCCATACAGTATGAGGGGACCCCAAGGGGATTGCCCACTCTCTGCTCGAATGCCTGGGGTTTATATCCCAATCATTGTTCCTCCCCCTGTGCTCTCAGATGATAGGTGATTTGACTATGTCTTTACCCCCTACTTTTAGCCTAATTGGTATTTTAGTGATCCCTCTTTACTACCTGATTGGTCTGGTGTGAGCTGAGTTGCAAGCCCCATATTTAAAGGTAGCTGTGGTCACCTTCCCCAGCTAGACTTAGGAATTCTTAGTCAGCCTGGGAAATCCAGCTAGTCCTATCTCTCAAAACTACAATAATAAACAATAAGAGAGAAAGAAAGGAACAAAGGATATACAAAATAACCACAAGCCAACTAATAATATCACAGGGTTAACCTCTCACATATCAATAATAACCTTGAATTAAATGGATTAAACTTTCCATTTAAAAGAAATGGACTGGCTAAATGAATTTTTAAAAAGCATGACCCAACTATATGCTGCCTACAAGAAACTCATCTCAACTGTAAAGACATATGTAATTAAAGTAAAGAAATGAGAAAAGATATTCCATGCAAATGAAAACCAAAAGTGAGCAGGAATAGTTAGGTTTTATAAATGAAACAGTCTTTAAATCAAAAACTGTAAAAAGAGACATAGAAGGTCATTACATAATGATAAAGGGATCAATTCAGCAAGAGGTTATAACAATTCTAAACATATATGCACCCAACACTGAAGCACACAGATATACAAAGCAAATATTATTAGATCTGAAGGGAGAGATAGACTCCAACACAATAATAGTTGAGGACTTCAACATCCCACTCTCAGCATTAGACAGACCATCTAGACAGAATATGAACAACAAAACATGGGATTTAAATTGCACCATAGAACAAATGAATCTAACAGATATTTTCAGAACATTTTACCCAGCAGCTACAGAATACACATTCTTCTCATAAGCACATGAAACATTGTCTGGGATAGATCATACGTTAGACCACAAAACAACTCTCAACACATTTTTGAAAATCAAAATCATATTGAGTACCTTCTTAGACCATAATGGATTAAAACTAGAAGCAAAAACAGGAGAAACTTTGGAAACTGTAAAAATACAAGGAAATTAAACAACATGCTCCTGAGTGACAACTGGGTCACAGAAGAAATTAAGAAGAAAATCAAAAAAAATGTATTGAAATGAATGAAAATGGAAACAAAATATAGAAAAACCTATGGGATACAGCAAAAGCAGTAATAAGAGGGAAACTTATAGTAATGAATGCCTACATCAAAAAAGTAGAAAGGTTTCCAATAAACAATCTCATCATGCACTTCAAGGAACTAGAAAAGCAAGAACAAACCAAACTCAAAATTAGTAGAATGAAAGAATAAACATCAGAGCAGAACTAAACAAAATAGAGACTTAAAAAAATACAAAGGATCGATGAAATGAAAAATGTTTTTTGAAAAAAATGATAAATCAACCATGAGCTACACTAACCAAGAACAAAAAAAGAGAAGACCCAAATAAATTAAATTCAGAAATAAAAAAGAGACATTGCAACTGATACCATAAATATAAAAGATCATCAGAGGCTATTATGAACAATTATATACTAACAAACTGGAGAATCTAGAGGAAATGGATAAATTGCTGGACACATCCAACCCACTGAGTTTGAAGCAGAAAGAAACAGAAAACCTGAAAAGGCCAATGATGAGAAAGGAGGTTGAATTAGTAATAAAAACTATCCCAACAAAGAAAATTCCAGGACTTGATGACTTCATGGCTGAATTCTACCAAACTTACAAAGAACTAACACCAATTCTCCTCAAATTCTTTCAAAAAAATGAAGGGAAGGGAAATCTTCCCAATTCATCCTGAGGCCAATATTACCCTGATACCAAAACCAGACAAAGCAACAAAAAAGGAAACTATAAGCCAATATTCCTGCTGAACATAGACAAAAAATCTTCAACAAAATATTACCAAACTGCTATGATTTAGATCTGTGTTCCCACCAAAATCTCATATGGAATTGTAATCCCCAGTGTAGGAGGTGGAGCCTGCTGCAATGGAACATGGATCCATCATGGATCCCCAATGTATCATGGGGGCGATTTCTCTTGGTTTAGCACCATCCCTCCTTTGTACTGTATAGTAATTGAGTTCTCATGATAGCTGGCCTTGTAAAACTGCGTAGCACATACCTCCTCTTTCTCTTCTGTCTGCTCTGGCCATGTGAAGACATCGGCTCCCGATTTGCCTTCTGCCATGAGTAAAAGTTTCCTAAGGCCTCCTCAGAAGCTGAGCAGGTGCCATCATCATGCTTCCTGTACAGCCTGTGAAACCATGAGCCAATTAAACCTAGTTTATTTATAAATTACCCAGTCTCAGGTGTTTATTTATAGCAATGTGAGAATGGACTAATACACAAAACAAATCCAACAATACATTGAAAATTATGGTATGATTACACCATAATCAAGTAGAATTTATCCCAGGGATGCAAGGATGGCTCAACATATGTAAATCAATATACATCACACATCACATCACCAGAATGAGGGACAAAACCCGTATGATCATCTCAATAGACACAGAAAAAGCATTTAGTGAAATGCAACATCCCTTCATGACAAAAACTCTCAACAAATTAGGCACAGGAGAAACATACCTCAACAAAATAAAGGCTACATATGACAAACTCACAGCTAACATCATACTAAATGAGGAAAAGCCGAAAACTTCTCTGAAGGAGCTGGAACAAGACAAGAATGATCACTTTCACCACTCCTATTCAATACAGTACTGGAAGTCCTAGACAGAGCAATCAGACAAGAGAAAAATAAGTAAAGGGCATCCAAATTGAAAAAGAGAAAATCGGCCGGGCGCGGTGGCTCAAGCCTGTAATCCCAGTACTTTGGGAGGCCGAGACGGGCGGATCACGAGGTCAGGAGATGGAGACCATCCTGGCTAACACGGTGAAACCCCGTCTCTACTAAAAAATACAAAAAACTAGCCGGGCGAGGTGGCGGGCGCCTGTAGTCCCAGCTACTCCGGAGGCTGAGGCAGGAGAATGGCGTGAACCCGGGAGGCGGAGCTTGCAGTGAGCTGAGATCCAGTCACTGCACTCCAGCCTGGGCGACAGAGCGAGACTCCATCTCAAAAAAAAAAAAAGAAAAAGAAAAAGAGAAAATCAATTTGTCTCTCTTTGCTGACAGCATGATCTTATTTCTAGAAAAAACGAAAGACTCCATGAAAAAAACTCTTACATCTGATAAATTCAGCAACATTTCAAGATACAAAATCAACAGACAAAAAAGTAGCATTTCTATGCACCAATAACTAGCTGAGGAAGAAATCAAGAAAGCAATCCCATTTAAAATAGCTCCCGGAAAAAAAAAAAAAAAAAAAAAAAAAAACTCTAGCAATAAATTTAACCAAGGAGGTAAAAGACTTTTACAAGGAAAACTACAAAACTACGAGACCAGATGGAAATACACGTCTACACAACAGAATGAAGAGCACCAGAAACGGTAAATATATAAGATTTTCCCCTATTATTTAAACATTTAGAAGAATAATTGATTGCTTGAACAAAATTAGTAACAATGTAGTTTGCCTGAAGGACTTTAACATTTCTTACTCTGTAAACCTACCAGTGATTAATTCTTTAAACTTTTGTACATCTAAAAATATCTTTATTTTGTGTTTGTTTTTGGAAGTTCTTTTTGCTGGATATAGAATCCTGGGTTGATAGAGTTGTTATTTCAGTATTTTTTATTATTATTATACTTTAAGTTCTAGGGTACATGTGCACAATGTGCAGGTTTGTTACACATGTATACATGTGCCATGTTGGTGTGCTGCACCCATTAACTCGTCATTTACATTAGGTATATCTCCTAATGCTATCCCTCCCCCACCCACAATAGGACCCGGTGTTTGATGTTCCCCTTCCTGTGTCCAAGTGATCTCATTGTTCAATTCCCACCTATGAGTAAGAACATGCGGTATTTCGTTTTCTGTTCTTGCGATCGTTTGCTGAGAATGATGGTTTCCAGCTGCATCCATGTCCCTACAAAGGACACGAACTCATCCTTTTTTATGGCTGCATAGTATTCCATGGTGTATATGTGCCACATTTTCTTAATCCAGTCTGTCACTGATGGACATTTGGGTTGATTCCAAGTCTCTGCTATGGTGAATAGTGCCACAATAAACATACGTGTGCATGTGTCTTTATAGCAGCATGACTTAGAACAGAGCCCTCAGAAATAATACCACACATCTACAGCCATCTGATCTCTGACAAACCTGACAAAAACAAGAAATGAGGAAAGGATTCCCTATTTAATAAATGGTGCTGGGAAAATTGGCTAGCCATAAGTAGAAAGCTGAAACTGCATCCTGTCCTTACTCCTTATATGAAAATTAATTCAAGATGGATTAGAGACTTAAATGTTAGACCTAAAACCATAAAAATCCTAGAAGAAAACCTAGGTAATACCATTCAGGACATAGGCATGGGCAAGGACTTCACATCTAAAACACCAAAAGCAATGGCAACAAAAGCAAAAATTGACAAATGGGATCTAATTAAACTAAAGAGCTTCTGCACAGCAAAAGAAACTACCATCAGAGTGAGCAAGCAACCTATAGAATGGGAGAAAATTTTTGTAATCTACTCATCTGACAAAGGGCTAATATCCAGAACCTATAAAGAACTCAATCAAATTTACAAGAAAAAAACAAACAACTCCATCAAAAAGTGGGCAAAGGATATGAACAGACACTTCTCAAAAGAAGACATTCATACAGTCAACAGATACATGAAAAAATGCTCATCATCACTCACCATCAGAGAAATGCAAATCAAAACCACAATGAGATACCATCTCACACCAGTTAGAATGGCAATCATTAAAAAATCAGGAAACAACAGGTGCTGAAGAGGATGTGGAGAAATAGGAACACTTTTACACTGTTGGTGGGGCTGTAAACTAGTTCAACCATTGTGGAAAACAGTGTGGCGATTCCTCAAGGATCTAGAACTAGAAATACCGTTTGACACAGCCATCCCATTACTGGGGATATACCCAAGGGATTATAAGTCATGCTGCTATAAAGACACATGCACACGTATGTTTATTGTGGCACTATTCACAATAGCAAAGTCTTGGAATCAACCCAAATGTCCATCAGTGACAGACTGGATTAAGAAAACGTGGCACATATACACCATGGAATACTATACAGCCATAAAAAAGGATGAGTTCATGTCCTTTGTAGGGACATGGATGCAGCTGGAAACCATCATTCTCAGCAAACTATTGCAAGAACAGAAAACCAAATACCGCACGTTCTCACTCAAATACCGCATGTTCTCACTCACAGGGGGGAATTGAACAATGAGATCACTTGGACACAGGAAGGGGAGCATCATACACCAGCGCCTATTGCGGTGACGGGGTAGGGGGGAGGGATAGCATTAGGAGATATACCTAATGTAAATGATGAGTTAATGGGTGCAGCACACCAACATGGCACATGTATACATATATAACAAACCTGCACATTGTGCACGTGTACCCTAGAACTTAAAGTATAATAAAAAAAAAAGTAAAATATAAAACGGCAAAAAAAATAATAATAATACTCTTTAAGCAGATTCACCTTAGGTTAACATTTTAACCCATTCCCAATATGATTTGTTCTATTCTATCAATCAATCATCTATCTATCTTACTCTGTTTCATGTTACTATAACAAAATATTACAGACTAGGTAACTTATTTATTTTTTTGAAATGGAGTTTCGCTCTTGTTGCCCAGACTGGAGTGCAATTGGCACGATCTCGGCTCACTGCAACCTCCGCCTCCAGGGTCCAAGCGATTCTCCTGCCTCAGCCTCCAGAGTAGCTGGGATTACAGGTGCACACCACCACAGCTCGCTAATTTTTTTGTATTTTTAGTAGAGCCAAGGTTTCACCCCATCTCTACTAAAAATACAAAAATTAGCTGAGCATGGTGGTGCACGCCTATAATCCCAGCTACTTGGAAGGCTGAGGCAGGAGAATCTCTTGAACTGGGGAGGTGGAGACTGTAGTGAGCCAAGATCATGCCACTACACTACAGCCTGGGTGACATAGCAAGATTCCATCTCAGAAAATAAACCTGCCCACCTCAGGCTCCCAAAGTGCTGGGATTACAGGCATGAACCCAGTCTACTTATAAATAAATAAATAAATAATCTGGGCTGTGTGCAATGGCTCACACCTGAAATCCCAGCACTTTGTGGGGCTGAGGAAGGAGGATTGCTGGAGCCCAGGAGTTTGAGACCAGCCTGGGCAACATGGCAGGAGGCGGTCTTGACGACAAAATTTTTTAAAACATTAGTCAGATGTGGTGGCACGCCTTAAGGGCAAGAGGAGTGAGACTGGCCTAAAGCCCCCTCTCCCTGCAGGAGGAGAAGAACCCAAACATGGAGTTCTACTTGAAGAACCTGGTGCTGACCTCACTGAACCTCTTCTTTGCAGGCACCAAGACCGTCAGCACCACCCTGCACTACGGATTCCTGCTGCTCATGAGGTGGAGGGTAAGGCTGGAAGGGGAGGGAAGTGGAGGGCTATACAAATTCAGAAGGTTAACATTTTTGCATCATCATTTCTTAGAGTTTTATACATTTGTAAATTTATATTTTTATGTTAGCAAACATTTGGCCTTGGAAATTTAAATTCTATACCCTACTGTCCCTACACATTCAAATCTTTTAACTTTAACTTAAATGCTTAAAGTCTTACACTTCAAAACTTTAAATTTCTAAGTTTCTGAAATTCTAAGACTCAAAACTACAGTTGTAACTCTCTGGCATGTATAAGGTGGAAGATTTTAAGTTTCCAAGTTCCTAAATGTCCCAAATTCCTAAAATTTCAAGATTCAGAGTCTGTTTTAAAGCTGTAACAGTTTATACTTTTGCAGTTTCTATATTCATCTACAGATAAAAGTAAACCCTGTGCAATAATGCTTGTTTTTTTGTTTCTTTTGTGTTGTTTTGCCCTCAATGTTTACAGATTGGTTGAAAGTTGCAGGGACTAGAGGTTGGGGAGATGAGAGGGAAGGACCAGTGGAAGAAGAGGAGATACCTGGTGCATCTTGATGAGAAAGCAGTCAATGAAGTCCCGAGGGTTTTGGGGGTCAAAGGATGCTTCGTTGATCTTGACCCTGGAGGCAATGAAGTCCTTGAGCTCTTCTATCAAGTAGTAGACGCGATTGTGTCTTCCTGGCAAATACTGCATGATTCCAGAGTACATGTCATATAGTTGTGGGAATAGGCAAGAGGACTTTGTCAGTGATGGGTGCCAGGGGCCCGCATGGGCTGAGCCTGGAGTTGGACAGCTGGGCTCAAAGTCCAGTGCTGGGTCTAAGAATCAGGTGAGGCCCTTTTGCTTCCCAGAAGTTGGGTCCTATTGAGACAGTAGTTCCCCATTCACCTTGGTTTTGCCTTCCACCATTGCAGTCATATGTGCAGTCAACTGCAATCTAAAAATATTACATATAATAAGATATTTTGAGAAAGAGTACATTCACATAACTGTTGTTAGAATAGTTATAATTGTTCTATTTTATTACTTATGAATGCCAGTCTCTTACTGCATTCAATTTATACACTGAATTTTATCATGATATGTATATACCAGAAAAACTTAGTATCTATAGAATGGGTACTATCCATGGCTTGAGGCATCCACGGGGATCTTGAACATATCCCCCAGCAATGAGGGGGAACTACTGTACTCACCTCCCAGGCGTCTAAGGAGGATCAAGTGGGGTATAGGAAAGTGTTTAGTTAACTGGGGTTGGTGCATGGAAAGAGAGGTGGCTGGGTGGGCACCTGCGCCCAGGGAGTGCTCATCTCAATGAAACTCTCATTGATCAACCGCAGCAGATTCAGGAACTGCTTGTCCTCATAGTCGAAGCAACTTCCAAAGACAACAGAACCGATGATGTTGGAAACGCTGCAGCTTAGCAGGAAGGTGGGGTCGATGGGGGCACCTGGGCAGTGGAAATTGTTTATGTTGGAGGCCATGGTCATGAATATGGGGTGTGGAGTCACAGTGATGCATCTGAGTCCCAGCTCTACTACTTAATTGCATGTGTGAGCCACTTCATTTTTGTGTTTTGGGTCTAGATTGGCCAATCGGCAAATTGGTTTGGGAACCACTTCACTGATTCATGAGGATTCAGTATCATTATCTGTATAAAATAATTAGCACAAAGCCTGGCATACAGTAAGCACTCAAGAAAACCTAGTTGAGCTTAATCATTATTTTTTATTATTATTACTTAAATGTGTTGATGTTAGAGACTCACATATTTGGGGAAAAGTGGGATAAGGGACACATTATAAAAGTTCCTGAATTCTGTCTAGCTCTACCGATGATTCCATTTGGGCAATTAAAAAAATCCTTCCTGGCCGGATGTGGTGGCTCATGCCTGGTAATCCCAGCACTTTAGGAGGCCGAGGTGGGCAGATCACGAGGTCAGGAGTTGGAGACCAGCCTGGCCAACACGGCAAAACCCCGTCTCTACTAAAAATACAACAATTAGCCAGGTGTGGTGGCAGGTGCCTGTAATCCCAGCTACTCAGGAGGCTGAGGCAGAAGAATCGCTTGAAGCTGGGAGGTGAAGGTTGCAGTGAGCTGAGATCATGCCACGGCACTCCAGCCTGGGCAACAAGAGCAAGACTCTGTCTCAAAACAAAACAAAACAAAATCTTTCCCTTGCCCTCACCTACACCTTCTGTAAAACAAGATCAGTAGATCTGGGAAGAATTTCTCTAGAATAATGCACATATTCACAAATACACAATTTTATGAATAATGTCTGGGGTACATGGGCATTTGAAACTTTTATATAGACCTGTTAATCACCCACGTAGACCAGGCAAGGAGCCTTGGATGTAGAGAAAATGTGTCTCCATTTCTACCTCTTATCTATTTTTCTCTGTTTTTTTGTTTGTTTGTTTGTTTGTTTTTCAGCCTCTGTATCTTTCCTCTATAGACCCCAGTGTTTCTAGACCTTATTTTTTGGTGAGACTGAACTCTTTTAAAAACACAATGAAATGAGTATAGAGTTTCACATTTGCAAGATAAAAAAGTTCAAAAGATCTTTTTCACAACATGAATATACTTAACAGTACTGAACTGGACACTTAAAATGGTGCATATGGTAAATTTTATGTTATGTATTTTTTTTACCACAATACAGATAGACAAATGTAATGAAATTTGAGCCTGTCTTCAGGAAAAGTCACAAAGTCACGTCACCAATATCCGCATAGGATATCAAGAGCTCACAGACCCCCTGAGATCCACTGATTACAGTTTCTAGATGAGTGGTCCCTAAGGGTCTTCCATGTTAACTGTTTTGTTGTTGTTGTTGTTTTTTAAGAGACAGTTTCACTGTGTCTCCCATACTGAAGTGCAGTGGCATGATCATAGCTCACTGCAACCTTGAACTCCTGGACTCAAGCAACCTCCAGCCTCAGCCCCACAAGTGGCTGACACTACAGGCCTGTGCCACCATGCCCAGCTCATGTAAACTCTTAATACGGAAGCTGGCCAGAAATCTCAGTGGATTCTTAATATTTTCCCTCTTCTTCCATTCCAGAGCTTTCTCCCACCAAAGCCCATCTTCTCTTGACTGAGAACCCCATAACCACCCAGTCACCTAGTGGCCCTCCCCCTTGTGGCCCCCCATACCCTTGGTCTTCCGGAACTCCTCCAGTAGGTAGCTGGCCTCATCCTGAATTCGCTCCTCAATGCTCCTCTTTCCCATCCTGAAGTCCCAAAAGATGGTCAGGGAGAGGCGTCGGAGAATCCTCCATCGTTCTCCATTGGCCAGAGCCACACCTGCCAAGATCTCAGTCTCAGGCTTCTGCCTCCCTCCCCTTGCTGTGTTCACTCGGTGCTACACAGTGATGGGGAAAGATTATGAAAGCTCTAGACTGTGCTGTCCAGGAAGCCATCCTCAACCTTCAAGGCTCAATCAAGAGAGTAAGGTTCCCTCTCTGCAGGATCCTCGGGAAAGAAAAAAAAAAAAAAAAAAGTCCAGACTGAGGTGGAGGAAAAGGGAATCAGTGCAGGAGTGATAGGGGAGATCAAACAGTGTTTCTTACAGGAAGGAGAGGTGGAGTTGGATAAATAAAAAAATAACTGAGTGAATGACGGTTGGAGAGTGGATAGAGAGATTCATAGATGTATGAATGATGAAAGCATTAATGAATGGATGGAATGATAAATAGATGAATAAATAGAAAGTTAATTGACCGATGTATAGATAATAGAGTGAAAGATATTTTCATAGAAAGAATAATGAATGGATTTTCTGATGGATATGGATCGATGGACAGAAGGAAGAAAAGGTGATAGATAGACAGACAGACAGACAGACAGACAGACAGAATGTGGTGAGCCTGCTTGGAACTGAAGGATATGGGCAGTTAGAGATGGATGCATGAGAGAAAGAGATCTACCTAAGAGAAGGAGGCAGAGACCTATGGGGTTAGGTATGTGTATAAGTATAGGAAGATGAGAAATAAGGTTGGTTGTGAGGGCTATGAGGGCTGGCTATGGGTGCATAAAGAATATCGCTAATCCCCCAGGCTCGGAGGCTCACACCTGTAATCCCAACACTTTGGGAGGCTGAGGCGGGCAGATCACCTGAGGTTGGGAGTTCCAGATCAGCCTGACCAACATGGAAAAACCCCATCTCGACTTAAAATACAAAATTAGCCCTGTGTGACGGTACATGCCTGTAATCCCAGCTACTCTGGAGGCTAAGGCACGAGAATCGCTTGAACCCAGGAGGCAGAGGTTGTGGTGAGCCAAGATCATGCCACTGTACTCCAGCCTGGGTAACAAGAGTCAAATTCTGTCTCAAAAAAAAAAAATGTGTGTATATATATAAAAATATATATATTATATATATATTGCTAATCCATTGAAAATAAGGGCAGAAATAACACAGAAAACTGTTTAGGGTCAGATGGCAAAGGCTCAAAATAAAATGATCATACCACTTACTGTGTGACATTATCTAATCTTTATCTTAGCTTTTTCTTTTCTTTTTTTTTTTTTTTTTTTTTTTTGACAGAGTTTCTCTCTTGTTGCCCAAGCTGGAGTACAATGGTGCAATCTCAGCTCACTATAACCTCTGCCTCCAGGGTTCAAGCGACTCTCTTGCCTCAGCCTCCTGAGCACCTGGGATTACAGGTGTGCACCACCATGCCCAGCTAATTTTTTTTAATTTTTAGTAGAAATGGGGTTTCACCATGTTGGCCAGGCTGGTCTCGAACTCCTGACCTCAGGTGATCCACCCGCCTCAACCTCCCAAAGTGCTGGGATTACAGGCGCGAGCCACCACGCCCTGCCTATCTTAGCTTTTTCATTGACAACATTAGTATAATGTTAACGGCTCTCCTAAGGGAGGCAATGCAGTAAGTCATGTAGAGTACTTACTTACTGAAGAACCTGGCATAGAGGGAGCACACTGCAGTCATTTCTGGTTTTATTGTTTTTGTTGTTGTTGCTACCTACCATGACCTTGGAAGTTTTGCTCTATTGAAGCCAGTTTTCCACGGCCACTGAACTCATCTGCTTGGTCTATCAAGGCTTCCTTCACTGCTTCATGTCCACATAAAACCACCACAGGCCAGAGACCCATGTACACAGTGAACAAAGGGCCGTATTTCTCCTTGAGCTTGGAGTGAAGGAAAACACAAGAGGAGGGGCTGATTGGAGTACCACATATAGGCCAATAGGATTTTAGAGGATGGTGATTTCCGGGGGATATAAACATGGTACTAAGGAATCAAAGTAAATCTGGGCTTGGAAGGACTACTGGGAAACAGGCACGGAAGTCTTGGCTTCTGTCATCCTAGGCAAAAGCTCATCCCTCCCCACAAGACTTACTGTTCTCATCTATAAAATAATGGACCTGGATTCGATAAATTCCAAGATTCATACTTCTCTCTCTGAAATGTTAAATTTCTAGAATCTGAAGACTTCGTGATACCAAGTCTCAAAGCGCTAAGACAACCTGAGTCAAAGTGTCCTTGTGTTTAAAAATATAATGTACTGTGATTCCAAAGTCCTGAGATCATGAAAGTCTTATTTCAGTGCACTGAGAATGTGTGTTTCCAACATTTCAGGATTCTGGAATTTCAGAATTCTAAGATTTGCAAAGTCTGTGCTTCTGAGAGTCTATCTTTAGAAGGCATAAGGTTCTATGTGAATCTGGCTACAGGATTAGTTGCTCTAAGCGCTGTTAGAGGAGACAGACACACTCACCTTCATGAAAGACTGAAACGTAGCGTCAGTTCGAACTTGCAGCAGGTTCCCCAGGAAAGGAATTGGTGTAGGACCTGGGGGCAGCTTTCCTGCCTTATTCATTCGTTTCCAGGCAATGAGGACAAGCAGGCAAGACAAGCAGAGTGCCAGAAAGATGGTGCCAGGTCAACAGGTTCTGTCCTGGGCACCAGATCCTGCCTAAATAGGTCCTGAGAGATCATCTTATACCAAAATCTGAACACCCTGGGATTCAAGTTTTCCAGGTTTGAATGTCATCGGGGAAGTGATTGCTTTATATGGGGGGTGGTTATATAACCTATAATCTCCCATCTGAATAAGGGTAAATTGAATTCACACGGGGAAATCCTCTGGGGCCATTCCCCTTTCTTCATATTTCCAGTCTGCCTGTTCTTCTCTCTCAGCTCAATAGGATTGACAGAATTTCTTGGTGGGGTGTGAAGAGGCAGATTATTCTCTTTTTAGGCTATTGATTTTAGGATCCAGACGATCTGGGTACAAGTAGCAGCTCTGTCTTTTCTTCACTGGGCAAGTCACTTAACCTCTGGGACTTGTTTCACCATCTATCAAACAGGGAAACCATGTTGTTTTATTTTTTTTTATTTTTATTTTTTGAGACAGATTCTCACTCTGTCACCCAGGCTGGAGTGTAGTGGCGTGATCTCATTTCACTACAACTTCTGCCTCCCGGGTTCAAGCAATTCTCATGCCTCAGCCTCCCAAGTAGCTAGGACTACAGGCACATACCACCATGCCCAGCTAATTTTTATATTTTTCTAGAGATGTGGTTTCACCATGTTGGCCAGGCTGGTCTCAAACTCCTGGCCTCAAGTGATCCACCCCCATCAGCCTCGTAAAATGCTGGAATTACAGGCGTGATCCACCGCAGCTGGCAGACCATGTTGTTTTAGAAAGCCTTGATAGACAATAAGGAAAACTCTTTGTTCATTATTTAATTAAGGTAACCCTAATTAATTAAAATTTTTTAATTGACACATAATTGTACAAATGTGTGGGGTACAGTGTGCTGTTTTGATACATGCATGCAATGTATAACAATCAAATTCAGGTAATTATTATATCCATTAATAATTGTACATATTTGTGGGGTATAGTGTGATGTTTTGATACATGTATGCAATGTATAACAATCAAATTCAGGTAATTATTATATCCATTACTGAGACATTTGTCATTTTGTTGTGGTAAGAACATTCAAAATCCTCTCTTCTAACTATTTTGAAATATGCAATGTATTATCATTAACTACAGCCACTCTACTATGTAATGGAACACTAGAATATTAATAAGCAAAGTAAGCTGAAGATTTAGAAAACAAGATAAATCAATTGAAAGGGTTTGTTCAAAGAGTTCTTGTTTTCTACTCAAGATAATGTTAAATAACAATAATCAAAAATTACCTGTGTTGGTGTATCAGAACTTTGCTGTATCAAATTTAAAAAAAGAGAAAAAAGAACTTTGCTGTAGTATGTGTGTGGGGGTGTGTGTGTGTGTGTGTGTGTATTTGGAAAGTCTAAGGTGTAGGGATCACCCCTGAACCGCAGTCTCTGGAGGGGAACGTCTCCTCCAGCACAATTAGTGATTGCGTTCCTTAATAATCTAGAAAGTGATTCACTACCTTTTCTGCACCAAATATTTTCAAAGCCTTAATGTTCTGAAATGAACTTCGTGGATATCATATCCTACCCACATATGCTATTTATCAAAATTCAATGTCCTTTTCATGCGACTGTATTCTCAGACTTGGAAACTGAATCCCTCAAGGTATCTGTAGGTTTGGGGAATGGGGTTTGGCTGGCTGAGCTGAGGCATCCTGTGTCCAGAAGTGGTGGAAATTCTGGGAAAACTGAGTGACTCACACACAGTGCCACCTTTTGTCTCTTGGATCTGCTGCTAGAATGTCTTTCTTGGAGTAGAGACTCAGCTCAGCCCATCTCCTTTGACTCTCTTAGCTTTCACCTCCCCATCCCATTCTGATCCTCACCCCCCAGCACTTAACACCCATTCAGGACTAATCTCTTAACCATCTTGCAGTGGTGGTGTGTGTGTGGTGAAGGTGGTCGGTTGTGAGTCTGATTTTCTGATTCAGACAGGAAGGGAGAGAGCAAGTACTCTTAGAACAGCTCCCCTCACCATCCCACCTCCAGATAGGAAGCCAGGAGTGGAGGAACTTGCACTAAAAAGTAGAAGCAAGCTAAAGAGGAAAAATAATTGCAGAGGACTTGAGGCAGAGAAATTCAGAGCATGGCAGATTATGCCAGGTATTATGTGATGGAGACAGAGGTCAAGATTGAGAGAAAATAGAAGTGCATAGAAACAGAACCAGAGCGAGATCAAAATAGAGATGAGGCCAGGCTTGGTGACTCACACCTGTAATCCCAGCACTTTGGGAGGCCGAAAAGGTGGATCACCTGAGGTCAAGAGTTCAAGATCAGCCTGACCAACATGGTGAAACCCCGTCTCTAATAAAAAATACATGCGCGCGCGCGCGCGCACACACACACACACACACACACACACACAAATTACCCAGGCGTGGTGGCAGGCACCTGTAATCCCAGATACTCAGGAGACTGAGGCAGGAGAATTGCTTGAATCCGAGAGGTGGAGGTTGCAGTGAGCCGAGATCGCACCACTGCACTCCAGCCTGGGCAACAAGAGCGGAACTCTGTCTCAAAAACAAAACAAAACAAAACAAAATAGAGATGAGAGAGAGATTCAATGAGTCAAAGACAATGTCAAGGAGGACACAGAGACAAAAGACAATTCAAAGAAACAGACAGAAGCAGATAGAAACAGAAAGAATAAAAGACAGGAAAAAAGTTTCAGTGACACAGAGAATGAAAAAGTGACATATGACTGAGAAGAGAATCAAGAGGAACCCAAAGAGTGAATGCACCAGTGACTCAGAGAGAAATCCAACTAGACAAAAAGTTGGAGATGGAGATGAACAAAGAGAAAGGCAAAGAAACAAAGAGATACAGAGACAAGAGACAAACCCAGATCTAAGTGGGATAGAGAGAAGGAGATTTGTGCTCCAGAGGGTGTGTGCGTGAAATGGAACCTGGGTCATTTTATGCCTAGTCACATGCCTCTCTTTCTGGGACTAAGAAATGTAACGCTGCCAGAATTTTTTTGTTTTTTGTTTTTTGTTTAGAGATAGAGTCTTGATGTGCTGCCCAGGCTGGAGTGCAGTGGTATGATCTTGGCTCACTGCAACCTCCATCCCCCGGGTTCATTCTTTGTTTCATTTTTATTTTTAATGTTTTTGATTTAAAATTGGGGTTCTTTTTGTCATGTTTTGTTTTGTTTTGTTTTGTTTTTGGAGACGGAGTCTCAC